TACCCCCTCCTCCAAGCTACGTGGCTCGGAGGATTATGGGGGCCTGGCGCCTCCACTGAGAAGCCACGTGGCCCACAAGCCCTTGTGGATACACAAATGCGTTTTCTAATCATGGGATTTGTTTTCCAAGCTGCAACATGGATGTCTTGCAATGGCTGAGAAGCAGATCTAGGGTGAATCACAGCTTTTGGCATGTCCTTGTAGTAGCCTCACTGGTGTTCACCTTGCCACTACTGACTCTGCAGCTGGATGGGCTGATAGACTTTTCAACCTGTGGGACACACACACACACTTAAAATGCAGGATTTCTTCCTTTAGTGCAGCTGTGGGGAACCTATGGCCTGGGGGACAAATCTGACCCCCAGCTTACTTGGATCTGGCCCCCAAAGCTTGGGGCTCCCCACTAGCATTGCGGAGCTGGCACTCCAGCTCTGTGGCCTCCTTCCTGCCTAGATCCTGAACCACCCCTCTGCTTCTGCACCCTCCCACCCCCAGCCTGCTCCTGCACCTTCCCAGTCCCACCAGCCTACTCTTGCACCCTCCTGCCTGGCCAGACCCCACACCCCAAGACCACTTCCTGGCAGCCCCCTCTCACACACTGAACTCCTCATTTTTGGCCCCACCCACAAAATTTACTAGCCTGGACCCCCCTAGGCTCTGGTATGCAAGGGGATTGTGTGTGGGGGGGAGGAGGAGTTTGGTTTTTTTTGCCTCTCACTTTTCTGCAGCTTCTGACTGATTTTTCTGTGGGTCAGTGGCCCCTGACCGGAAAAGCCCATGTTTTAATCTCTCTAGCCGCAGCATCACGATCCTTTGTTACTGAGCTAAAGAGCTTTCAGCAGTGAATGTGGAAGGACTCCAGATCTGCATGACCCACAATTAGCCTGGCGCCTACAATGAATGATGTGGGGACATTGGAGAGGGTCTGGCATTTTGGACGCTAGTGCTGTAGGACCTGGTGGTCCAGTGGCTAGGGCTGGGAAGAAAGCGAGGTGGGTTCTAGTACCAGCTCTGCCGTTGGTTCTCTGGGCAAATCACATCACCTTTCATTCCACTTTTGTGGGGCATTGGGGTCCAGATTGCTGAATAGGCTAATGGACCTTCATTTGTATCGCCCTGTAAATAATATCTGGTCTGGATGATCGACAGCCTGTGCTGAAATCCTCATTATTCATCTCTGAGAGAGAGAGAGAGGACAACTTTGTTAAACAGTTTTTGGACTGTAATAGAACTGAAGCAAGAATTACACCCAACAACAGAGAGCCATTGGGTTTGCTTTACGACAGCAAAAAGGCTGTCCGTCAGAGGTTCTGTGGTAAACTCAGTGTTTTCAGGGGGCTAAATTCCTCTGTAAAATACATAAACTTATGTCGGGAATTTGGCTAATGAGTGCAAAGAGGCTTTAATTTAAAATCTGCACAAATTCTTCTGTGCTGCCGAGAGCGAGCGAGCGAGAGAGAGCTGAAAAGTTTTTCATTTCAAGAAATGCCCTATTTTTGGTCATCTTTACATTTCAACGCCAACTTCACTCTAGCTCCTTTGAAAGGTTGTTGTGTAAGAGCTGGAGTTTTCCAGGCTGTGCATCCCAGCCAACTGGTGGGTTATAATGGTTTCCAGTGAGTCACGCTAACCTGGCAGAGTTCTTACACACTGTGAAACGCATCGCATGCCCACTGTAAAACTAACACCGAGTTGCTAGGGTGAATCTCACTGGGGCTAGTCCATGTTATAGGCGCGAAACATAGATTCTTTCTCTGGGCCTCTTGTCCGTGGCTAAGATGTGTCTGTATTTAAGGGCACATCTAAACAGCAGGGCTAAAGCTGAAATAAGCTACGCAACTTGAGCTATGTCAATTGCGATGCTTAAGTCAAAATCGCTTATTTCAGCTTTCGGAGCTGTCTACACAGCAGAAAGTCTGAGGACGTACACTCTTCTCCGACTTCCCTTAGTCCTCGTAAAATGAGGGTTACAAGAGTCAGAGTAAGAAGTCCTCCAGCTCGACATTATTTTGACATTATGTCGAAGTAATTTCTTGTAGTGTGGATGCGGACTATGTTATTTCAGAGTAACGTTGGTTATTCTAAAACAACACTGCGGTGTAGATGTACCCGAGTGTGCAAGCGAAACAGTGTTCAATACAAGCTTTGAATTCATTTGGAGAGAAGTAATAAAAACACTTAATTAAAACTAGCTGCGTTAGTCTGTATCTGCAAAAACAACAGAGGAGTCCTATGGCACTTTAGGGTGTGTCTACACTGCACCAAATACATAGCACCAAATTTTGAAATAAAGCACTATTTCGAGACATCCTTTATTCCTTGTGGAACGAGGTTTACAGGAATGCTGAAATAGCGTATCCGCTATATTTCGGATGTGTTCTCCCAAAATAGCATTGAAGTGTAGACATTCCCTTATACTACATCTGCACAGCAGACTTTTTGCGCAGGAAAAGTCATTCTTGCACAAAAACTTGCCGGGTGTCTACACTGCATGTGCGTTTACAGGACAGCATTGGAAAACAGGGCTTCTTCTGGAAGAGTTATTCCTCTCCCCACGAGGAATAAGCCCTCTTGTGCAAGAGCTCTTCCACAAGAAGGCCGTGTAGACAGGCAACATGATTTTCTTGCACAAAAAGCCGTATGGCTAAAATGGCCATCAGAGCTTTCTTGCTCAAGAGAGCGTCCACACTGCCATGGATGCTCTTGCGCAAAAACACATGGCCGTGAGGATGCGCTCTTGTGGAAGACCTTTTGCACAAGAACTCTTGCGCAAAACAGTTCTTGCGCAAGAAGCCTGCAGTGTAGATGTAGCCTTAGAGACCAAAAAATTTCATTGGGCATCAGCTTTCATGGGTAGAAGCCACTTTGTCAGATGCACGGCGACTCCATGCACCTGAAGAAGTGCTTTTTTCCCCCCATGAAAACTTATGCCCAAATAAATCTGTTAGGGTATGTCTACACTACCCCGCTAGTTCGAACTAGCGGGGTAATGTAGGCATACCGAACTTGCTAATGAAGCCCGGGATTTGAATTTCCCGGGCTTCATTAGCATAAAGCTGGTGCCGCCATTTTTAAAAGCCGGCTTGTTCGAACCCCGTGCCGCGCAGCTACACGCGGCACGGGCTAGATAGTTCGAACTAGCTAGCTATTCCGAACTATCTGTACGCCTCGTGGAACGAGGTGTACAGATAGTTCGGAATGGCTACGTAGTTCGAACTATCTAGCCCGTGC